CCCGCAGGTGGTATTTTGTGGAAGAGCCACACTCAAAAGGCCAAAGAGCCACATGTGGCTCGCGAGCCGCGGTTTGCCGACCACTGGCCTAGGCCGTGTGCTCGTCTGGCATTTTTTCCCCCTCACCACCATATTTTAGGCCTTAAAAAAAAAGATGATGGGGTATCCGCCTCCCTTGAGACACAGCTCCCTCTTCACTAAATAGTGTTCGTTCATGTCCGCCTAGGCCGTGTGCTCGTCTGGCATTTTTTCCCCCTCGCCACCATATTTTAGGCCTTAAAAAAAAAAGATGATGGGGTATCCGCCTCCCTCTTCACTAAATAGTGTTCGTTCATTTCTTCACGCCCCTTCCTTTAGAAGTCTTTAGTCTGAATGGCTGTTTCCTCAGTCGTGGACAGCTCAGTCTCTGTCCTAAATGGACAGCTTCCCATGGGCAGTGGCATTTTCAGCTGCCTCTTAGAATAGCTTGTGAGAGATCGGAAATGGGGCGGGGGGACCTCGTATTAAAGATGACTGAGGAGCCCTGGGGCCTGTGCTGTGGCCACCGCCCAGCCCAGGCTCCTAACTGAACTGAACTCCTGCCTGTCCCAAGGAGGCCAGGCGGCACTTGGCTCCTTACGTAGGACAGGCACACGATGAAGACGGCGTCTGAGGCCCGAGAAGGCCCACGAACCCCTTCCTCCTCCCCCTCCTCCCTTCTTTCCATCCTCCCTCCCTCCCTGCCTTTCTTCTCCCCTCCCTCTCTTCCATTGTATGTCTAGGGAACATAAAATGTTCCCAATGGAAACGCTGAACTGAAGGCCAAGACAAATCCCCAAGTGGTACAGGCCCCACGATCTGAGGGAAGAGGGGCTTTCTCTAGGACAGTGGGCGGTCAGCCCTGGGGAGCAGCCAAAACTCGGTGGCCTCTCCACCCCGAGTTTCTCCTCGCAGCCCTGGTGCATGCTCAGGTTTTCTGCCCATCACTGCTCATTTCTCCTCCGAGCTTGACGTCGACACGCCACGGGAACCTTTAGGCGAAGGTAGTTTTTAGATATTCAGAACATGGAGATGCGAGGCCAGGCCTTTTGTTGGTGACATTTCCTGTCCACCAGGCAGTGAGCCCCTGGACAGGACTGGCACTAATGCGGAGAGGCAGGAGTTTCAGGTCTGGAAGGAGGCAGTCACCTCTACAGAACTCCTCCTGTTCCCACCCACACCCACGGCCACGCGTGCACCATCAGGGTCTCAGGGAGGATCAGGTTGGAGGATGTGAGCGACTCCGTGCAGGGCGTCGCCCATAATCAATCACAAACCTTCCTCAGAGGCCCGGCATTCTGTATGTTGGCAGGATAGCTCAGTGGGTCAGGGCGGTGGAACCAGGACCCCTGAGTTCCCATCCTGGCCCCCCCATTGACTGGCTTTGTGATCTCAGGAAGGTTACGGAACCCCTCTGTGCCTCAGTTTCCTTATCTGTAAGATGGGAATGGTGACAGTACCTGTGGTCTAGGACTGAGTGAGGATAAATGAGTCAATAGACATGGCATGCTTAGACTTAAGGCTGGCTGTAGTCTGTGCTCAGTGAACATTAGCTGTTACTGTTAGGAGTTTTATCGTGATATAGCGGGGGAATGGCGACAATGTCCCCTCTTTGTGAATGTCCACTCAGCAGTTTTAGAAGGAAGTCAGATGACTTCTGGTTCTGTTTCGCCTTTTTAAATCCCCTCTTCTGTCCTCTCAAACCAAGGCTTACACTACAGCTCTGAAAAACCCCTGCTTCAGCTTTTAAATTTTGATTCAGAATGAGGACCTTTTGACCTTGGTAAGAGGTTCGGATGAACAGGAGGCTCTGTGTCCCCACAGCCATCTCAACATTCATTTGAGTTGTGGAGCTAGGCTCATGGGCCCTTCTAGCCCAGTTTGTCCACACCCCCTGTCCCTCCCTCATCCTTTTATGGAATCAGGGGCGCCGGGTCAGGTTTGAGGAGGGACATGGTGTGTGGGAAAGAGGTCTTCTTTACCCCATCAATTCCTTCTCTTCTCCTGTGGGGCAGGCGTCCTGCCGGCTAGCACATAGTTCCTTTGGGCATTAGGGTTAAAGCAGGTGGGGGTTGTAGCTGGTGTGGATGGAGAGGAGCAAGCAGTCTGCTCCCCTCCTCCCACCTCCTTTCCAGGGGAGCCCCAACACCCTCCTCCCACCTGTTACTCGAAATAATTCCCTGTGTTTTATCTGTTTGTCTAGGGGAAGAAGAAGAAGAGGAAAAGGGACAAGCAGCCCGGGGAGACCAATGGTAAGTTAGAATAATGCGGATGCAGGGAGGAGCGGCACCCTTCAGGACCACTCTGTTATGTTAGGCTTGGCGGGGGTGGGTGGTGGGGGGAGGGAGGCAGTAGAAGCTCAAGGCCAGGACGTTGTGGGGGGACCCATCTTAGCCAGCCTTTTTGTTTATGCATTTTAATTAATTGCTTCATGACTGCCCTTTTAAAGCTAGTAACATTTATTGTTGCATGAAAAGCACATTGTAATTCTAGTGGAATGTGTTTGGAAATAACTATAGAGCCTGTAACTGGAGAGCAGTAGGCATGCCTATGCGGGTTTACACAGTCTGCTTACTCCGTATGTGTCCGAGCAGGGCTGAGGAGGGGCTAGGGGAGTAGGAGGGGAGTGTGTGAGTGTTTGATATTAACTGGGCTGTTCCTGAATGTTCCGATGCATGCCTTTACAGTGGTAAATTGCACCCGACTTAAATTAAGGAGGTTTGTCATTCTCTAGAAGAAATTAGAAATACTGCATAGGCAATCTCAGGTCCCTTGGAGAAGGCCAGACTTTTACGAACAACAAAAACATTTTGAAGGCTTTGTATAATTTGTTCTTTTTTTTCAGAACACAGCGAATGTTTCCTAAATCCTTGCCTTTCACTTCCTCCGATTACAGGTGCTAATGTCATTTTGAGTCGTTAAAATAGTTGCTTAAACTGTTTTTTAATTTTTCTTGCCATTATAGTTTGATTAACATTAAACACGTATGACATTTGAACATTCTTTAAAATGACCATCTACTCGGTTTTGTATGTTTCAGTAGAGTATTTTTTTTCAGTTGCTTTTGTTGTTTCTTTTTCTTTTTTTTATTTAATTTAACTTTTGCTTTGTTTATTTATTTTTCCCATAACAGTTGTTTAAGCAGTAATGACAGTGATCTAGAGTTGAACTAACTGTGCAAATTGAATATGCAGTATTTCTTTAAAAGAGACTGGTTTAAAAAAAATATGGAAGGAATTCAGTAATAAACCTCCTTAATCTAATGGCATTTTTTTTCATTGCTCCCACTAAGTTTTCTCATGCAAGCATGCATCTGCAGTATGATTATTTTTTTCCTTCGCTTTTTTTAAATTTTAGTTTTTTTCTTCCTTTTGCTTTTCTGCTCATACTTTGCAAGCCCACTAGCATTTTACTGACTGTACCTGCTTAAATGCTGCTATGAGCTTCTCACTAACTCCTAACAGCTCATTTACATAGCCTGTGTACCTTTATCTGTTCCTCTCTTAATATTAATGAACATAGATTTAAAAAGAAAAGATGAACATTCCAAAAGCTGCAATATCCCAGTACCACAATCCTTTTCTTTCTTTATTTCTTTCTGTTTCATTTCATTTTGTTCTGTTTTTATTTGCAGTATTTTTCTTTTTTTTTTATACTGTTATACTCTGAGAAGAAAAAAGCATGTTACAAACTTAATTCCCTCCTTTGCTTTATTTTCTTCTTTAAGAAAAACAAATTGAGAGAAAAAAAAACAAAAGTGGAAACGTATTATTTGAAAGCTACGTATTTAGTACCTAACCTCCCTGTATCAGCTTGAACCGAATCTGAGACAGTCCTTAATGAAGGGATACTGCAGCTTTATTTGCAACAGCTAATTTCACAAGTTGAATAAGAATGTGATTTTTTTTTACCTTTTTTTTATTATTAAAGAAAGTTAAAAATCGAAAGTCGATATTTTGTAATTAGTAACCAGGTCATTGATTTATTCCCTTTTTTATTTTTATTTTTTTCTTATTTGTATCTTTCTCTTTTCCCCTCCCCCCCTCTCTCTCTCTCTTTCTCTCTCTCTCTCTCCCTCTCCCTCTCCCTCTCTCCCATGTTCTCCTCCTCTGCTCGCTTCTCTCTTGAACTCATTCAGACCTGAGCGCTCCTAAGAAATGCCGAGCGCGCTTTGGCCTTGATCAACAGAATAACTGGTGCGGCCCTTGCAGGTGTGTATAGATTTCCCAGATTCGCTGTGCTGGTTTGCAGCTGGTCTATTCGGTCCTTTCCCCCTCTCTGGCCTGTCGCTTTGTAGCTCTGTGTGTGGATCTTAGGAGACACGAGGGCGCGGGACACTGCTCTGTGAGGGATATGCTTGTTCCCCCGCTGCTGCTAGCCAAAATGCCACTGTAAAACAGCATCACTTGTGCCTCCTCGGGTCAGCGACAGCAAACCCCAGCACGCCCCTCCCAGGGAACGTTGCCTGCCAACCCCCTTGCTCATGACAGCCCGGGACGGGGCTCAGGGACATCCACCGTAACCCTGGCCTAGGTAGACGCCAACAACGTCGCCTTTCCCCCTCCTCTTCTCTCTCTGTTTTTATTTTTTTCCCCTTGTTTTTTTTTTTTTGTTTTGTTTTTTTTTTGGTTTCTGGTTGTTGTTTTCTTTTGTGTGTGTGTGTGTATGTGTGTGTGTTTTATCGTTTTATTTTATTTTTTTCTTTTGACTCATAGAAGTCCTTCCCTTTCATGCCCTTGGTGAGGGAAGGAGTGAGTAGAGCCGAGGTGATGCGGAAGACAGGTCAGCTGTAGCTGAGCGTCCACACGCAGCTGAGCACGACCCACCATTGTGTTGTGTTTTTTTGTGTTTACCTTATGCTAACAGATGCAAATACTCCAAAGAAGTGTCGGGCACTGTTCGGGCTTGACCGACAGACTTTATGGTGCAAACCGTGCAGGTATATGACCACTGCGAGGCCTTTGGGAAAATCAAAGCAATTCTGTCCTCTGATACCTTAGTGTGTCAATATATCCGGACCCCGTCCCCGTCTACCTTGCACTGGCATCAATGACTAATGATCCTCACTCTTCCAAATTCCCTTGCTAATTTTACGCTCTCCCCACTGTCTCTTCCTCTCTTTCCCCCATCCTCTTCCAAATAACACATGACCCCGGTGGTAGGGCCTAGACAGCAACCCCAACAGACCAGGACAGGCACTTGCCCTTTTGCTCTGAAAGCCAGCCTCCTGGAACCTGCCCAGCCCGGGAATGCTCCCGTGGCCTGAACGCCGGGTGCAGAGGGAGCTGGAATTGGCAGCAGTAGCATTTCCGAGCACTCGGAGTCGGGGCACTTGGAGATGTGCTCTGGGGCAGGCTTTTTTTTTTTTTGGTTTGGTTTTGTTGTTTTGTTTTATGTTAAAAACCCACATCTGTGTGCAGAGGAGCTTGGCTAGCTGACATTGTTTTACAGTGCTGCAAAGAAGCGTGGCATTGATCGGCAGGCACCAGCTAACAGGGCTGCACGAGGGAGCCCCACAGGCCCACGCTCTGGTGCTGCTGGCCTGCGGGGCGAACAACACACACATCTCTATTAGAGAGAGAGAGAGGGAGAGAGAGAGCACACGTTGGTTCCAAAAGGAATCAGAAGCGTCCCGATTCAACCCCGGGTTCCACCCACAGGCTCCCATCCAACCTGTAACCTCAGGGACGGGATAGGTACTTCCTTCTTGGTGGAGGGATACCGACTAGTGCCTGTCTCCTTTCCTTTCCTTCAATGACCACCTTGGTTAAATTTGTTGTTTCTTTGTTCTGATACAAGCAGTCTTTGAATTTGGAATATTATGATGGTAGGTATCTCAACACCCAAACACGCCTTTCTGTTTGTAGTGCCTCCCCTGTCACGTGTCCCTCTCCTCCATGCCTTTGCCATTTGTTCCGTGTCTAGACGTTAGATAGATGTCCATCCCATTACGTGCATGCCCACGACTCCGTGTCTCCTCCCCTCCCGATGCCTTCCCAGCGAGAGACTGGGGCAGTGCCTGGCGTTGACAACACCTTTAGGGGAGAGAGGGCTTGAGAGTTGATGGAGAGGGAAGTCCCCAGGCGACTCTCCGCCCAGTGAGTGAGGATGGGGGGGCCTCGGGCGGAGGCCCACCAGGAGAGGGGGTGATTCAGCCATTCTGCGAGATGGCAGTGTTCACGGAGGTGACAGATGTCCTTCCCACAGTCTTCTCTGTGCAACAGAAAAGGGTTTCCTGATGGGGTTGATGGAAGATGTTAGTATTTAATTAGGGCCAGCCCGGAAGACAGGGGCCCTGCTTCCCCTAACTATCCAGGCTGGGAATTTGTGGGGCCCAGTAGGAAGATCACTGGCTGGGGAACCCTGTTCCGAGGCACCCACCATGGTCATGGCCAAGGATGAGCTAACCACAGGGTGCACTTGGAGAGAGGGTTCCTGACCATAGAAAGTATGGCCGCACCACACGCACACCTCGCCAGGTGGACTGTCGCCTGGTTTGTGCATTTTACTTGGGGAGGCGAGCCGTGGTCCGTGAATCCCTGTTTTGTTTGGGAAGCAGCGACTGCGAGGTAGACTTGGCCCTTTTTTTTATTATGGGTGAAAGTTCATCACTAACTTCGACGGGACGGACAACCCCTTCCTAGACACAGACAGCCCTTACCTAAAGCCATGAAAATTCCTCAGAGACTAGAATTTTCATGACATTTTTACCGAAAACAAAAACAGCCGAAGACCTTGGTAGCTGCTTCGTAAACGTGATTTCCTCACCTGCAGCTTCGAGGGGCCAGCTGTCGGTGTGGCGGCCTGGCTGTGGGTGCCGAGGGGTCCTCGTCATTCCTGGGGTCCCTCCCGCCTCAGCACTGTCGGTGGGTCCTAGTGGCCACTATCCTCTGTGGGGGGCAGTGTTCGTACCCTAAAAGCTGTTAGCAGATACATTCCTGCTCCTTTTAGGGTGTAACTCCAAACTGGGATCAGGAAGAATTCTTTCTCTCCCAGTCAACCCAATAAGAAGCTAAAAATGGATTTTTAAGAGGCCACTCCTTGATTAGAGATGGAGGCGGGGAGGGTACGAGGAGGGGTTTTGTCCCTTTTTTCCTCAACTTTTCCCAGGATCTGGCTTGATGCTAAATCACTAGGACAAAATGTGTTTTTTAAAAAAGAGAAGTTGCAAAACGAGGCATTTTCCCGGCCCGTCAGAAGTGTGTGTGCTCACTGCCATTTGCTCAGCCACCTCCTAGGAGAATACTCCGCCATTCGTAGTCTTCATGTGCCCGCGAATCCCCACATCACGCACGGAAACCCCCGTGGCACAGGGAGGGCGGGAGGGCCGGGGAGCACCAGAACCGCTCCTAGCTCTAGCCGGTCACGGCTCCTCGCTCCCTACACAGGGCTGTTTCTCATGTTATTTGACATTTGAGCACATTTTTAACAAGATTCTGTTTTGAGCCCACCAAGTTGCTTTTCCCATCTTTTCCTTCTGCCCTAATATAGCATGGAATGCTGCCTGATGTCCTTATTTCCTGTTGTTTTCCCCCTTTCTTCTCTCTCTCATTTCTCCCTGTTGCTTTCTCCATGTTGCTTATGCCCTCCTACCCACACCTCCTCCCCTCTCCCATTTTAAAATGCATGGACATCTTAGTGTTTTGAGCATGTTTTGATCTGCAGGCGGAGGTGGTTAAAGCTCTGATTGATAGGCTTATGTATTGATCTTGGGCTTCTGGGATGGAAGTAGAACCCACCCTCTATTTCAGTCTATCCCAGAGGAGAGAAAGGAACCGTGTCAATTTGAAGGTGATGAGGGGGACTGTCCCCCACCCCCCCCAGAGTTCCTTCCACCAGAGAGGAGTGGGTAGACCCTGAGGCCCCCTGCCCAGGGCCTTGGCCTCTGGGAGGCAGGGAAGACCAAGCATGTCCCTCCTATCCTCCCTACCCCACCTCCCATCCCTCCTCCTGCCATCTTGCTGAGTCCACACCCCCACACACAGGGGCATGATCAGACAGCCTGCGCTCAGGCCCAAGGAGGAACTCATCACTCCCCCTTCCTTTCGATGGCCAGTGACATCTGACAGTGGTTGCCTCAGCCAGGCAGCAGCCTAGTTGCTTTCCAGCACGGAAAGCCAGCCGGCGCTCATACTTGTTTGCGGATGGAGTGTTCCCAGCCCTACAGTCGGTGCTACCTGACTAGGTTCTCCTTAGATCAGCTCCCCCCCTGCATCTGCATTGTTTTTGATAGCATGATGGGGGTTGATCTCAGGGCCACCTTTGCTACCCAGTATTAGCCCATCAGACTGGGGTTCACAGTAGGAGAAGCGTAGAGGTCACAGGCTCAGTTTCTTGAATTGATTTCCCCAACCTTCGATGATAAGCATGAGAGGCTCTGAAATTCTCATTCCGACCCCTTACATAAACAGGAAGTAGGAAAGGGAGATTCTGGTTTTGGTGCAGGGCAAGCAAAAAAATTAGCCTCCGTGGTTTAAACACCAATCGGGACAACCCAGACCCAGAAGGTCCATGCTGGGACCGACCCCTGGCACTTCTTCTTGTCTCACTTCCTTGTGACCTGCTGCACCCTCCAGCTAACGGCCTCGGGGCGCCCCTCCATGCCATCCTCACTCTCTCCTTCCAGCCTTCTCATTCTGGGGTGAGGGAGGGGAAGACCCCAAATCTTAAAAAAAAAAATCAAGTCTGAATCATAATTTAATCCACAACCTGCAGGCCATACAACCAGTTATTCTTGTTCCTTTGGATCATTTTCTGTTTTTCTTATTCTTCCCCCTTCTCCACCTTTGTTGATCCTCTTCTACCTGTTTTTGGTGTTTTTTTGTTTTTGTTTTTGTTTCTTTATTTTCCGTTTTTTATTTTATTTATTTTATCTTATTTTATTTTGTTTTCTTTTTGTTTCCCCCTCCTCTCACCTGATTCTGACCTCTCTTGATTTGGTGTGGTTCTTAACAGACAAGCCCGACAGCTCTCTGGGCCCAGCAGCCTGGTGGTGGTGGTGGTAGTGGTGGTGGTGGTGGTGGTGGTGGTGGTGGTGGTGTGTTGAGAACTTTAAGCCTCTTGCTAGTGCTGCCTTCAGCTCTATGGGCTCAGTAGTCAGCATTTTGAGAGTTTCATATTCATGTGAGGCACCTGGGAAGGGGCTCTGTCTTTCTCTGTACACACACACACACACACTCACACACTATAGGGGGGTGGGAGAGGGAAGGGGGTGGGGATGGAAGGTCTGATGGGAGAGTGAGGGAATGCTTAAGCCCAAAGAGAAATGATAATTTATTCGTTCATCTCATTTTCTAGCAAATCGATGCCACCAGCTACAGGTGGCATCCAGTAGTTTGCTCAGACATTTGGGCAGGGGTGGGTCATGGGTGTTGAGTGGGGGTAGGGGCAGCAGGTAGGTAGGGAATTCCATACAATTAAATATATTTTGTTCACCAGAGCAGACTGATATGTGGGCAGTAGTTACGTGGGCACGGCACCTCGTGGAACTTTAATAGCACTCTGGCCACGGGCGTGCCGCCTCCGTGGGGCATCCGCTAGGTGACTCTCTCCCTTGGCACCTCTGCCCGTTATTCACAGAACCTCTCTCCCCTGTTTCTAGGAGAAAAAAAAAGTGCGTTCGCTACATACAAGGTGAAGGCAGCTGCCTCAGTCCACCCTCTTCAGATGGAAGCTTACTAGACTCGCCTCCTCCCTCCCCCAACCTGCTAGGCTCCCCTCCCCAAGACGCCAAGTCGCAGACTGAGCAGACGCAGCCTCTCTCGCTGTCCCTGAAGCCCGACCCCCTGGCCCACCTGTCCATGATGCCTCCGCCGCCCGCCCTCCTGCTTGCCGAGGCCGCCCATGGCAAGGCCCCTGCCCTCTGTCCCAACGGGGCCCTGGACCTGCCTCCCGCCGCTTTGCAGCCGCCCATCCTGCCCTCGTCATCTATTGCACAGCCGTCGACATCTTCCTTACATTCCCACAGCTCTCTGGCCGGGACCCAGCCCCAGCCGCTCTCCCTGGTAACCAAGTCTTTAGAATAGCTTTAGCTTCGTGAGCCCCGCTTGTTTTGTGTAGTGTTTCATTTTGCTTTTCTTCATTTCCTCCCCCCTTTTTGGAAGGTTTTGTTTTGTACTCTTAATTTTGTGCCACGTGGCTACATTAGTTAATGTTTATCGAGTTCATTGGTCAATATTTGACCCATTCTTATTTCAGTGTCTCCTTTTAAATATGTAGATGAGAGAAGAACCTCATGATTCTACCAAAATTTTTATCAACAGCTGTTTAAAGTCTTTGTAGCGTTTAAAAATATATATATATATACATAACTGTTATGTAGTTGGGATAGCTTAGTTTTAAAAGACTGATTAAAAAGCAAAAAGGAAAAAAAAAAAAGAAGCAATTTGGAAGCAGCCCTCCAGAAGGAGTTGGTTCTGTATTATTTGTATTAAATACGAGCTTGCGAACCAATCATTTTACATCTGGTTTTTAAACCACCAGGGCACGACGAATGCAGTGCCGTGAGTTTTTTTTCTTCTTCCGTGTGAAACAACTTTTATTGTGATGTTACTTGTTATTGTTTAAATGTACAGAAACAAAGGGTTAAAATGTGTTAATATACCTTGTTCCATGGTGTTGTTCTTTTGGGGGGGGAGGGGATGCTACTCAACACTTAATGGCATCACAGCGCTGTTGGACCAGTAGTATTTATTGCTTTAGAGATTGCTCGTCGAACCCGTACGTCGTCCCTTTTAAAATATGTTTTCCTTTTTTCTTGAAACTGTGTAAAGTCTTTTTTCCCCCTTAGCATCAGCATCTTATATATAACAACTCATTTGTACAAGGTTTTTAAGTTTATATATAAAATGTGTATATATATTTTTTTGTTTGTTTCCATTTTCGACTTTTTTTTTTCTGTATGAAACCCAGATGCCGCCAAATGGACATGAATAGTTGCATTAAAGGATCAGTAGCATTAACAAAAGTTGTTTTAAAAGCCATTATGTGAAACAAGACTTGAAAATTAGCGAGGGAATTTTAGCGACGCTGTTTGAGCAACGACGGGAACGTCCCTGTGTCCTCTTTGAACTCACAGTCGAATGCCCTGCACCCCGAGGATGTGGACTGACTGCGGAACTTTATGTGCCAAAATTCTCAGTGACTTTAGCTTTCTCCCTCTTTTCAATGCTGTAATTTCCGTTCACCATGTTTTGCTGTGATGTTACATAGGTAGATCTGTGTGTAGTTTTAATGTCACCTATAACAAGATGTGTTTGGTAGCAGATTGTCCAGAAAAGCATTTTAAATGAAGAGGTATAAACCCTTAAGGGCCAAAATTCTGTATATTAGATTACTCTTAAAGGAGAAACCAGCTACCACTTCTATGTACCCGTACGACATACGAGTAGGTAGCGAACTTTAAAAATAAACAAAACCTAGGCATGTTGATGTTGCAAAATGCTGTATAAAGCTGAAACCTGTTCATTCACAGTGCCATTGTAGTTGACATGAAGCGATTGTAAAACTGTCTCCGATTTTTCTCTGGTTTATTAAGATGCTAACGATAACATTTTTTTGTGTGTGAATACTTTGAATGTTTCCTAACAGTTGTGATGTTACTGTTCCGTTTTATGCTCTTATTCCAATTTCATTTCTAATGGTTTGGAAGCCATTTTTGTAATGAATAAATGTTCATGCTGTACAGTATCTGTAGCATGCCGTGCTGGGTTAATAAAAGCAACTTAGTGTGTGCAGATGAAGGCTGGTCACGTGTGTCTGTGATTTGCATATCTCTGGGGAAACCGGATCTGCCTGCTGGAACCTGAGGTCCCGGGGCTGGTAGGGGTGGTGGGTGGTGACTCAGGTACCAAGACGTGGTCTCGAACCCTTTCGAGGGTTTGATTCTCCCCTCCCTGTTTGGCATGTTCTGTCACCGTAAGTTCATTTCTGAAAGCCAAGCACAGTTACAGACCACATGTCACCCTCTGGCTGTGAAACAGTCGCTCCTCTACAGCCCAGTTGTCTCTCACTCACGGTATCATTTTACATCCGTCCCCTTTAAGGACCATTGATGGGAATGTATCCTAAGTTCTTTCCATGAGTTGCGTGCAGGCAGGGGTGCCAGGGGTCAACTCGAAGCCCTTTTTCGGGCAGTGAGCGATTGTCGAGAAAGTTGGATTGAGATGGTTTACCTAAGGTTTGTGCAGAGGAATCTGCGAAACCCAAGTTCTTTGTCTGCCCTGGTCAGGGTGCAAGGTCGTTACCATCGCCAATGGACCACGGTGAAGATCTGCCTAAGGCAGTGGTTCTCAACCTTGGCTGCACATTAGAATCACCTGGGAATCTTTTTAAAATCCTGATTTCTGGGCTTCATTCCGCCCAGAAATTTTAAAATCCTGATTTCTGGGTGGAATGAGGCCCAGAAATCAGGATTCTAAAAAGATTCCCAGGTGATTCTAATGTGCAGCCAAGGTTGAGAATTACTGGCCTCAGGTTTCTGTGGTGATCACTCTCAGGCTGACTAGGAGGGACGATGTCGATGGTGCTCACTTCTAGAACCAGCAAACCTTCAGAGGAGTGACTTCTGGGCCATCAAGCTGCCCGTGTCGCCGCTGTGGTCAGGCACGGTCACACAGTGTTGTCATCAGGATCTTACAGTCGGTCCGGAGCTCTGCTCTCCGCCCACTAGTTCTGGTTTTGTGAAATCGCGGTATTTTGGTTTTGCTTTTAGCTCTGTATTTTCAGGAAGGAGTGATTCTGGGGTCCTGCCCCAATTTAGTTCGCACACTGACCCCCGAGTGACCTTCGATAACACAGGTGAGAACAATATTTGCAGCAGCATGTGGTGTGGGAGCTGCCCCTGTGAGTTCGCTCCTTCCAGCCCCACACCTGAGGGGGTGTTATTCTCCCTCCACCTTCTGCTCTATGCTCTGAAACCCGGTTTAGACACTCAGGGTTTGTGTCTTGTCCAAGGTCTCGGAGCATGAAGGGTGGTGGAGCTGGGATTTAAAGTCACCTCGGACTCCAAGCCTGTGCTCTTGACACAGGTGTGCCTCCTGCATAATCAGCGTGGTCCTCCAACCACGATGAGGCAGGCCTGAGCTTCGCCTGGCGCCCCTCCTCCGTCCTGCACTCACTCCCTCTCTAGCCGGATGGAGGAGAGGTCCGCTTCCTCAAAGCGTTTTCCTTTTCCACTTTCGAAGATGCCGTCTCCTCTGCCGGGAAGGATCGGCTCTGCTCCTGCGCCTGCTCCCCGCTTCCTACCTGGACACTCCTCGCATCCTCAGGCCTCAGCAGAGACAGCGCCGTAGACAAGGGTGGGTGACGTCTCCCCAGTATGCTCCACGGCTTTCTGCTGTCCCCTCCCTTTAAACTCTCCCCCACTGTCCTGTCATGTGGCACCACTCCGTGCTGTTGGCATTTTGCACACAGAATTCTTAGTGGTGGGGGACTGTCTACGCATTGTAGGGTGTTAGTATCCCTGGCCTCTCCCCACTAGATGCCCTCCTCCTCCACTAGTCATGACACCCAGAAATGTCTAGACATTGCCGGGTGGCCCCTGGGGGACAAAAGTGCTTGTGGTTGGGAACCGTTGCTCAGAGAGCCCTCCAGGACAGGGCTGTGGCTTCTGTGTTCACTGCCCTGTACTAGGGTCCTGGTTCAGAGCCGTGCGCATAGGGGGTGCTCCATATATATTTGTTGAAGGAAGGAATGAACAAAGTTGGCCAACTCTACACCTGTATTTTGGGAAGAAGGGAATGGAAATTTCCCATAATGCTTTCAAATTTTGTGTTCTCGGGACTTCCAAGGTGTCAGTCACTTCCATAATCCTTTCAGCCATGCTGGAATGTAACTCAGTGCCCTTGTTACCAAGACCCCGTAGACCACCTAGTCACATGCTTTCTGCCCTCCCGCCAACATCCAATATACCTTAGGGACCTTCTTTAACCCTAATATGGACCTCCCTCCTCCCCCCAGCTCGTCTCATTGTCGGCAGACCAGGTTCCAGTCTCCCAAATGGCAGCCCAAGCCCTTGCCCTTCAGCACCCCTGTGTCCATCAGTGTGGTTTCTAAAGCTTCAAGAGTTTGTTTTAAACCAAGCAGCTCCCTGTTGCACCCATGAAAAATGGGTCTGTGGGGTCTGGGGTACTGAGAAACCCCGAGACAACATGTAGGAGCCGTAACTCTCAGTCTCCGAACCACACATTACTGCCACATGATGGGGCCTGACCAAGTCAATTTGCCTGTTCAGAGAGAATATTAGTTTCCTGGGGCTGCTGTAACAAATTAACACAAACTGGGTGGTTTCCATCAGCAGCTGTCACAGTTCTGGAGCCAAAGTCCGGAAGCAGATGCGTCCTCCCTCCAGACGTCTAGAACCTCATTTGTTCCATGTCTCTTCTAGCTTCTGGTGTCTGCCTGCAATTCTGGGTGTGCCTCATTTTAGCCAGGAGCCAAAGTCCGGAAGCAGATGCGTCCTCCCTCCAGACGTCTAGAACCTCATTTGTTCCATGTCTCTTCTAGCTTCTGGTGTCTGCCTGCAATTCTGGGTGTGCCTCATCTTTTAGCCAGGTCACTCAAATCCATACCTCTAATGTCACATCACTGCCTTCTCTGTATCTGTCCCCAAAGTCCCTCTCATAAGGATACATGTGATTGTATTTGGAGCCCACCTCGAGAACCCCGGACAAGCCACTATCTCCAAGGTCATTAACTTAATCACATATTTGGCCATATGAAATAATACCGGTTCTAGGATCAGGATGTGGGCATGTATTTTAGGGAGCCGCCTTTCAGCCCACGGCAGAAGCGTTTGCCAATTCTGGGACAGGTGCAGCCTTGGCACAGGACCCTCCAGAATGGGCCGTGGGTGGGTGGTTTTGGAAAAGGCTGTGCGAAAGTGATGACTATAGTAGGTGGTTTTGCATTTTGGATAATAGCAGGTGCACTTGTATTGTGATTTGGATGCATAGGGTCAGGAGGAGCGTTCATCCGAGCCAGGATTTGATGAGAGGAAGCACCTGGGAGCAATGCAGTGCACCTGAGCTTGGAGAATCCTCTGTCCTTGGGCGATTCCTTCATCTCTCTGAGCCTCTGTCTTTAGCTAGCAAGTGGCGACAGAGTCTTCGTTCTGAGAGATTCTTAGGAGGGCTAGAATGCAGAGACCTGGAATAGCAAATACTAAAAGTGTTTATTATTATTATCATAAAAGCAGCAGGCTGGTCACAACTGTGTTTTCCTCATTTCTCTTTGGACTAGTCCTGCTCTTGAAACTCAGGTTAGAGAAGAGAACCACAGAGATCTCGACACATCCTCATTGTCAAGGGACCCTGGCCCGGGATTGTGGGACTCATCTACAGGCATTCATCTTACCTGAAACTTCCTGGCCCTATGGCAGTTTCTTCCACCTTTTGGGGAGCTGCAGCTCTGGCTGGGGTGCTTTTTTGTGGCGCATAAATGTGTTCTTAATTAAGGCCCTTTGGAAAGAAATGAAGGAACAGCCTAAACGTCTCTTGCGAGCGGGAATTACTGATAAGCAGGGCCTTAGGCTTGATTTTGTAAAGGAGTCCCATCTGGTGTCAGCTGCCTCAGCTCTCACTTCAGAGCAGGCCCAGCCTTCCTGGCACGTGGCGATGCCCGGGGCCTGCAGGAATCCTGGCATGGCCCTGGGGGCCGTGCGGGTGAACTCTGGCTCTGGAGCGTGTGGCTTCCTGAAGTTGGCACTGTGCGAGAACACTTGATAGGAGCTCTGAGTAGGCACGTTGATTGACTGGTTGATTGGTTGATTACTCATGCATCCATTCATCATCGATTTCTCTGACACATTTGCACCAGGGACTGTGCTCAGCACTGACACTAGGGTCCAGGGGAAGTCAGCATGGTCTCCGTCCACCCCCCCCCTCACCCCCACCCCCACCCC